CATGAGGCACCAGCATTGGCACTGATGAGAGTAACAATACAAATATAACAGACATGAGGCACCAGCATTGGCACTGATGAGAGTAACAATACAAACATAACAGACTGGCACTAAAGAAAGTAACCTTTGTCAGAGCAGAGCAGTTTAATTAAGGTTCAGGCAAGCTGCAAAGTAAGGCATGAATTAGTGATCAGTCCATAAGACTCACAGGCTGAGACTGACAGGACAAAACATCACAGCAACGTTTAAATTCATATTAGAAAGTAAATGATTTTCACTTTAATGTTAACAATGAGTTTCTGTAAACGATTCTGACACGCATGACGGCCACAGACAGAGCAGCCGCAGTCGTTCCTGCGCACATCTCAATACCCTGAATGTGGCAGATGGGGCTGGCTGATGGCAAACCCCTGCAGCCATGTGCTGTATCTTCTCAGTATCCCCCCCGCCCCCCACCCCCAGCTGAAAGTGGGTCACTGGGTCATGGTTCACTAGCAATAGAGCTGGAACAACTTCAGAGCCAGTAAGGGGGGGGGCAGTGGGGTAGAGTATTGGATGAGGAGGCCATGGCAGCAGCAGAGATTTCTATGGAGAGTTTTATACACCCTGAGATGTTTCCACAGTGTCAGTTAATGACTAACTGCAGTTACTGTGAACAGCGCAAAGGCTGAATCTGCATGTTACAAAATGGCTAGCTGACCGTGGAAAGCTGCAGAAAGTGTGTTTGTGGGGGGGGGGGTAGGTTTATACTACGTTGTGGGGACCAAATGTCCCCCACAATGTGATAAAAACCTGTTATTCTGACATTGCGGGAACCATTTTCTCAGAGGAAACCCAGTTTAACAAAAATCTGGAATCAAAGCTGTAATCAAAAACTAAAAATGTCAAAAATCTTACATTTTGTTTGATTACTGATGGTTAAGGTTAGGGCTGGGTAGGGGTTAAGGTTGTCATCACTGGTATTAGGGTTTTTCCCATTGAAATGGATGGAGAGTCCCCACAAAGATATGAATACAAACACGTGTGTGTGTGTGCCCTGTGAAGGACTGGCATGCCGCTTAGGCTCGCCCCTGCCTTGTGCCCCATGCTGCCTGGGATAAGCTCCGGGTCTCTCTGTCCCCATATTGGATCCGCATTTTAAGACGGATCAATGGACAACAGCTTAAGTAAGAAGCGGCAAATCATCAAACAGGAAGTGGACGTGAAAACATGTCAGCCACTCAGTCTAAATGTAGGTGAAACGCCCAGATTCGACAAACACACACGAAATCAGGGCATTTTGTTTCATGTGGAGTGAAAGTAGCTGCGCAGGGTTTTCCTGTTTTCGCAATGAGTGAAACAAGAAAGATGTTTCTAGGTTGCGGTTTTGGCACTTTCAACAAATTTGATATAAATCATTGTCCCGCTTTGAGACTATTGACGGCCCCTTGTTTTTGCTGCAATTCTCAGAGCTGCAGAGCCTGTGAACCGACAACAGGTATGACATGCAGGGAAGATGACTTTTGGAGTAAAGTGCAGTGGAGTGCAGTGCACCCCTGCCATCACGCTAAAGTGAAAAGGAAATCAGCTAAGTAGGTCGTGATGTACAGATATGCTGTGAAACATCTGTTTCTTTCTTCCCTTTGAGGCTTTTTGAGGTCACACACGCGGACTATTCAGTTGCTGTTTAATTGTGACTTTTCTGGTGTCCAGTGTTTTCACGCTAAGCAAAAAGCTGCTGGATTGATGCCATGCCGGCAAAGGTCAGGGCTCACCACGGCCTACTGTGCTCATTATCGGGGCCTGAATCTGTGAGTTAATTGCATGCGATGTGATCAGAAAATCTTTGTTCCAGATTCCAGAAATAACTCCTGTTTACTGCAATTTCCAAGATGAATGATGGCTTGTGGGATTTCCTGGCTCTGTGCTCATAGATCACTGTCCATTAGATGGTGGGGGTGTAGAGGAGCCTGGGGAGGGGGGAAGCAGGAGGAAGAGGAGGGAGTGAAGGACGAGAGGAAGCTACTGACCATCTCTGGACATGCCCACAGACAGGCACTTCTTGAAGCGGCAGTGCTGGCAGCGGTTCCGGTTCATGCGCATCACCGTGCAGTTCTCGTTCTTCGCACATACCTTGTAGTGGATGTTCTGCTGGATGCTGCGTCGGAAGAAACCCTGCAGGGGGCCGTAAAGAGAGGGCACTGTGGCACACTGGGAACACTCATGAGAAGATGCTTCATCTGTACTTTGGACTTATTCCATGAGGTTCATTGAGCCGGTATATCGTACCTTGCAGCCCTCACAAGCATGAACCCCATAATGGAAGCCAGAAGCAATGTCCCCACAGACCTTACATAAGAGCACCATGCCTCCCGTCTCTGGTGATGAGAGAAGACACTGATCATCAGAAATGATCTCAGAAATGAGATACACAAACAGACAGACAGACAGGCAATCACATATACAGAGAATCCGGCCTACAGACAGGGAGACAGACATGCAAACAGACAGACAGGCAGAGAGGAAAAAACAGAGACAGACAGTCAGGCAGAGAAAGGGATGGACGGGCCTACACACACAGACAGGTAGACAGACAGACATAGACAAGCTGACAGGGAGCCGAAGAGGCAGACAGACAGACAGACAGGGGGTGAGCATTTTAACACTCGCACATTTTAACACTCGCACATTTTAACACTCGCAAGCAAGTCAAGCAGTGTTATAAAGGGGTACCTACTGCTGAAAGTGCCGGGGAAGCCACATGACCTCTTCCCAGGGGTGGGGTAAGTGCTGATGGGCGGAATAGGGCTGGGGGCAGGAGCACTTGTCACTTCAGGGTACTGGAAGACCAGTTTCGGAGATGGAGAGCCCTCCCGGTCATGTGCCAACTTTAGAGCACCGATCTCGGTGAAGGTCATTTCCTCCGGGGAGGAGGGCTGCGAGTGGGGGCAGGGCGACTGCGTCTGGTAGCCGCTGGACGGGCTTCCGGGGCTGGGGCTACCGCTGCCGCCGACATAGAGAATGACGCCCCCTGCAGAAAGAGGAGAGCAGGACACACGTCAGGCCCCTGAGCCTAAGTCCCTGCCAGTGCGCTAATGTGATTAAGCATGTGAGCAGGACAGAAAGCTTTCCGGCAGCATGGCCACGCAGGTGTCTGTAATGCCAGGGGTATAGCTGTGTGCTTAAATGGAACAAAGAGCTAAAAATACACATGAAGATGGGTGGAGCGCATTGAAAGTGAAGAGCGCTCCTCCCGGGTCCCTGCTGTGTGGGCAAATGTTTGCAGTTTAATGCCAGTGCTGCTAAATCATGCACTGTAAGCACAGATACACTGCCTGCTAGAGAGCACCAAGGCTGAAAGTGGGCTGTTGGACCCATTTCACGCTCCTCCCAAGTGTTCCACCCTCCACCCCGCTGCGGATGAGCCGGTGCCCAGGCTCACGTGTCTGTGTGGGACGCCCCCCTCCTCTCTTCCAATAATAACCAGTTTCCCCTGGCGACACGCCACGGGCCGCGGCAGCCTGACACCTGACCAGCCGCTCACATGGACACTGACACGCCTCCTGCTGGGAGAAGCCTGCAGTCCTGCGTTAGGGCAGTGAGCAGCATCGTCATGATGGCTGCAGCCATTACAGCCACACAGTCCTGCACTGGGGCAGTGTGCAGCATCGTCATGATGGCTGCAGCCATTACAGCTGCACAGTCCTGCACTGGGGCAGTGTGCAGCATCGTCATGATGGCTGCAGCCATTAC